AGTCAGCTGTTGAGCCGGGAGGGTTCCCGAGCGTCAGGAGGAGATGGGGGGGGGCGGGGGGGGAGGGTTGTGGTGATACCAAATGAAGGATCAGATTTCTTATTGTCCTGATACCGCCGCAACACTGAGCTTCCTCTTGTGTCGTCACCGTCACGTGGTCGTGACCAGGTGGTGCAGGTGATCTTGGTGCTTCACTACCACGTGCTGGTGAGCAGGTGGAGCACGTGAGCTTGGTGCTTCACTACCACGTGCTGGTGACCAGGTGGAGCACGTGATCTTGGTGCTTCACTACCACGTGGTCGTAACCAGGTGACGTGTTATCGGTGTCTTATTGCCACGTGGTTCTTCTGACTCATTTTCATGTATTCCGTCAATCAGGAGTAATGATATGTGTTGTGATTTTGTTTCAAAATGTCGTAGATATATATATTACGTGATGACACTTGGTGTGTTGCTCCTGGTGCTGCTAGTGGTGCTTCACAGTTACGCGATAGAGCCCAATAGGCTCAGGAACCTGTACACCTGTTGATTGACGGTTGAGAGGCGGGACCAAAGAGCCGGAGCTCAACCCCCGCAAGCACAACAAGTACGCTGGGTCAGTTGTGGCAAAACAATTCTCTTCACTAACCTCATCCCACCTTCACCCCCCTGACCTTCAACCCCCCCCCTGACCTCTACCCCCCCTCCCCTGACCTATACCCCCCTCCCCTGACCTATACCCCCCTCCCCTGACCTATACCCCCCTCCCCTGACCTATACCCCCCTCCCCTGACCTATACCCCCCTCCCCTGATCTATACCCCCCTGACCTTCATCCCCCCCCCTGACCTATACCCCCCTAATCTTCACCCCCCACCATCCCACGCACACGGACGTGCTCTCCTACACTGGACATGAGCGTTGTGTTGTCATGAAGTGACTTCGGGAAGTGTGTGTGTGTGTGTGAGGGGTGGACTGGTGGAGCTTACTATGAGGGCAGGCTCTTCTAGGGACGGAGGGACCGTGGGGTGTGGGAGGTTGTGAGCCAGGGAATAGGGGGCCGATGCCCGTGAACGCAGCCCGTCCTCAAAAACAAAGGTTGAATGCTTAATGCAGCCGCCTACCCGGGCTGAGGACGGGCTGAGGGGGGGGCCCTCAGCCCGTCCTCCAAACAAAGACCTGAAAGTGATTCCATGCAGCCACCAAACCCCCAGTTTATGAATGAAAAACTGTTTACACCCACGATTCACAACTGATTGCGTTCGAACACTTCCGGAACAAGTGTTTCACTGACGAGTTTTGTTCGAACCACAACGCTGTAAATGCTTCACCCACGTACTTCAAATACGAATAATCGCCAACAGAACCTAAACACCTAACCTAACCTATGCCTATATATGCACAATATGCCAATATATTGTAATATTAATTTATATTTGAGAAAATTCCGTTCTGAATGAACAGCATGTAAAAATTTATGAATGCGTCTGTGGGGTCGACCGCTGGATGTAATGGACTTGAGTCGAGGACGGGTAGCCCCCCCCCCCTGTTTACTAATGAGATACGGTTTACACCCGGCTCACAACTGACGACGTTCGAACAGTGCTTCGCTTATTATTATTAACATCTTTATTGACAAAAATGAATTACAATTTTGCCTAATCTGAGGAATATAATTAGGTCTTATTAGAGTGAGGATAATGCTGGTATTCACCGTCACACAGGACACAAGTGGTCATACACAAGTGCTTTGCTGAAGACTTCTGCTCTAATTACAACTCGGCAAATGCTTTACCCACGTACTTCAAATCTAAATAACCGCCAACGGAACCTAAACTCCTAACCTAACTATATATAGAACTTTAAAGGATAAGATTAAAAGCTATATGTGAGACCCAATCTATTTGTAATATATAGTTATGTTAAAATTGACGAATGTGTCTTTGGGAACGGCCGCAGCTTTAACAAGCCTGAGCTGAGGACATGTCAGACGTCCCACGCAAGGAGTGGGTACTTGTGAGTGACTTGAGCCCCTCGTGAGGTGCCCAGACCAGGAGAAGGGAGGCGAGGAGTGAGTGTGAGGGGTGAACAATGTCCTCGAGGGTCACTTAACCCTCGGCGTCCTTGCATCACGCCTTGTCAAGGTCATTCAGTTGGGTTGTGCCACTGTGGTGATTCAACCGGTCAACCGGTTTGTTGTTGTCTTGTGATTCAACCGGTTTGTTGTTGTCTTGTGATTCAACCGGTTTGTTGTCTTGCGTATTATTCTGGTCTAGTCAACATCTGGAGGCTGCGTTGGAACAGTCTACTCGGGGGTACAATGCCTATTAAGTTGTTCTTGTTAAAGATTCGCTACTTGGAACAAAAAGTTCCAAGTAGCCCGGGCCTATTAAGGGTTTTTGTTTGAGCTCTTAACTAAGCCTAATTGGCGTTTGGTAACCTTGGAACATAATAAGATTACGGTGTGATTTGTATAGTAGGTGGCTACCACTGTATATAGGTATCCTAGCTTTTAACATTTC